ATAGAATAATTAAATAAGAAATATGAATATAAGATTTTTAAGTAAGAATAAATATTTTAAATTAATTTTTTTTAAATTAAAAGTAATAATTAAAAGCTATCAATTAAAAATTTAATATAAATTGTATAATTTATTTTTTGAATATTAATAAAATTGTAAAGGTATTAAAAGATATTATTTCAAAGAAAATAATAGAAAATAGATGCTTATCTAAATCTAAATTTTACCTTTTTATAAAGGTATAACCTTGTTTGTAACTCTGCCAAACTGAATTTAGAATTTCCAGAACCCCGCCCCCATTTCACTTATGTAACACATGCTTGCGGTATCACTATTACTTTATAAGTAAATTCGATGATACATTATTGAATGAAAAATAATTAATATCATCGAAACACCAGTTCCTGAATTCATGTACAAAATTAAAAATAGAACTTTTTTATAAAAAAAGATAGCCAAGAAAAGGTTCAAAGGAATTCTGATATAATGAAATTTGATTGTTGTGCAAATTTACGGAGAAAAAATATTTTTTTTTTGGTTGTATGCAGTCTTGGTGTTTCAAATTATTATCTAATATAATTAAACAAAGCATATAGGGTTTGAAATATTAAAAATCCTTTTTTCAATTTCTTTCCTACTTCACAATAATTTTCACAATGCGGTTCCTTTCCATCCTTCACCAATCTTTAACAATAACTGCTCTGGGAGCGTCATTATATTTATATTATTATACAGCTTTTTGCGGATGGAAATGGAAAGGTACGCATAAGGTTCAAAATGAGAAATTTTAACAAATTTTATATTATGATAAAAGTTAACGACTCCTTATTGTTGTTATAGACGCTGAAGCAAAGATATTGTTCTTAGCCGACCCACAAATCGAAGGTGATGCGAAAATACTCAGACAAGGAAAAAGAGGTACGAACCAAAGAAAGTGAATTGACTTTTTTCTTCTAGAAAAGGAGTTTAACAATTAAATTAATTTTCCTTTTTTTAGGTGAAATTGACTTATTGGCCAATGACATTTATCTTCGACATGTATATACATCTTTCGTATCACCTTATTCCTTATTTACTTATAAACCCACACATACCATTGTCCTTGGTGATTTGTTCTCTAGTCAATGGATTAGAGACAGTGAATTTAATAAACGTGTAGAAAGATATAAATGGATATTTGGTGATCCAAACGAAGTGAGTATATTAATTATTTTAATTTTAATTTTTTCACATTATAGTATTTCTTTTCTAAAATTTTTCGTATAATCAATTTCATAGGAATACAATCATAAATTCATTAATTTAACAGGAAATCATGATATAGGATATAATTGGGATATTAATCAATATAGAGTGAATAGATGGAAAAGAGAATTTGGACATATGAATTTCAAGGATTGGATTCCTTCTTCATTTGAGAAAAAAAAGCATAGAATGTCTGTAATAAATTCCATGAATGTAGATGGACCTGCATTGGATGAAAACTTACGTTCTGAAACATGGTCTTTATTAAATGATTTAACAAATGAAAGAGAACAAGATAATCATCAAAACCCTTTAATTTTCCTTACACATATACCTTTATATAAAAAAGACGGAATCTGTGTAGATGGACCAATGATAAAATATGATCAAACCGGAAAATTTATAAAAGAACAAAATCATCTTACACTAAACTCATCAGAATTTATACTAACTAAATTAAGACCTAAATTTATTTTTGCGGGACATGATCATGAAGGATGTGATGTAACTCATATAGTAAGAATCTTGTTGTATTTTATCAAATGTTTCTA